CAGTGAGTACCTGGCAGAACCAGCAGAGTCCTTTCAGCTTACAGAACAAGTGGGGAGCTGGAGGTCCAGCATGGCTCTATAGGAAGCAATAAGGGGATTGCACAGGGAGCTGAAGGAGCTCCCGTGCCAGCCTGGAGTTCAGGCGAGGCCACTTCCAGCTGAGTCTGGAAGCCAAGGAGGGTTAGTTAGGCAAATTGGAGGGTGGGGAGGGTGAATGGGGGGAGGGGTGGGCAGGCTGGGGTGGGAAGCCATGAGACCAGGGAAGAGGCAGGAGCGGGGATTCAGACAGTGGCCAGGCAAACACTGGTGTGACCCTGAGATGGGAGAGGATTTTGGGGTGATGCTGGGGTCACCCCCAGTCCTGCTGGGTCTGGTTCCCTGACAGGGGTCCCTCTGTGTCTGGGTGTGAGCAGTGAAGGAGGTAAACAGCAGTCGGGAAACCATGCAAATGGGTCCTGAGTGCGCTGACAGCCCAAGTGACGGCCTTTATTAGCTCGAGAGCCGCGTGGGTTTAAAATAGCATCGTAGCGGCAACAAAAGCAATTTGCCTTCTGAATTTTCATTCTGAACGGATGATCTGCTTTTAATCAAGCAAGGCGTCCCAAAATGCTCTTAATTACCCCGAGTCAAGGGCTCAGCAGTAATTTTGATGTCGACTTTCGGGCAGGCGTGATTAGGTTTTCACAAAACAGGTTCTGGGGAAGTGTGGCCAGCGGGGAAGGATGTTGGGGTGAAGTCAGACATGGGTGCCCCAATTTGAAACCAGCCAGCAGTGGGCAGCCATCTGGAGCCAGGGCAGAGAGACCAATTCTAGGTTTGACTGCATGACCCTGGGCAAGTCCTATCACTTTTGGGGTCTCAGTTTCCACACTGAAAACTTGGGAGACTGATGATGAATGCGTGCGAAGATGGTTTCAAATTGGGGCACCGTGTCCAACTTCACCCCAACATCCTTTTCCACCCAGCTTACTCAGTCACTCATTCCTTCATTCAACTAATATTGAACACCTGCTGTGGGCTGGGCTCTGCTGTAAGCAATGGAAGCTCAGCACTGTCCAATCCCAGCAGTGTCCGGCCTCCAGCCTAGAGCAGACACATCATGAAACAGTGAACTCACCTCTTCTCACTGATTCTGAAATGTGCAATTTTTATATTTGAACATCTTTGAAATTAGGGTGTGTCTCCATGCGGGTCATGACTTAATTGGCAGGCCTGATTTCTTCCTTAGCAGGATATAAAATAAAAATGGGGGCCTCTCTAGAGGTGCAGGGGTGAAAGTCTCAGCACTGTCAAGCTGTCCGTAGCCACTACAGCACGAGTTCGCTCCCCGACCAGGAAGGTGACCCCCATGGCGCGGCAGACTTCTCCTGCCTCCCCTCTGCTCCCCTCAGCCATGTGTTTCAGTCCATCTGCCTGTTCTGCTCCCCACTCTGTCTCTGGTGAGTCCTTACCCTCCGTGCCTCTGGTTTATACCCCAGTTCTTGTGTGTGTAAGTAAATAAAAATAAATCTATAAAAAATAAAAATGGGTCTCTATTTGGTGGTATAAGAGTCCAACACAGCCACACGTCACTTCGCCACATTCTGTGCAAGCACGGCAGCAAATAGAACGCTTTCCAGAGGCCTAAGTGTGTGGCGGCTGTACCCCAGGTGTGTGACCACGCTAAACGATGTCAGCATGACGTCACAGCCCCGTAACTAAGGAGTTCTCGGTTCAGGCCCATCCTTAGAGACAGAGGCTGTGACGAGGGAGGATGTGGCTGGCGTGTTGGGGTGAGCGTGCGATGGAGGGAAGAAGCACCAGAGACAGTGCTTCTGAAAGGCTTTGGGGTGCAACCCAGGAACCTGCGCCCCACTGGGAAGGGAAGGGATGGCTGGGCAGTGTGGACACAGCGGGTCCTGGGTTCACACTGTTGCCTTCTGACATCGATGGGAGACCAAGTAGGCCTGGTTGGGCCCCCCGGGAATGGCCGTGCCCTCCCCTCGGGGGGGGCTTTCTCCAGATGCTCTGGTTCCCCCGCATCCCACAGGGGCACATGTGAAGCTCAATGCTCATCTCCACTGTCCCAGTGAGGAGGAGTAAGGGGGTGTGTGATGGAAGAGCTCTGTCCGGGGTTCCCCTCTGAGCTGTGGGGTGAGCTCCTGCCCCCCGCCGCCCCAGGACCCTGAACTTGGTGTAAGGGAGCCGGAAAAGTGAATGAGTACAAATGGCTGCTGAATACAAGAAGAGTTCTGAGGCTTTATTTAGAAGGTTGTGATATCTTAGAACCGGAAGTATGCTGGAGGAAGGTCAAGCTTGTTTCTACCAATTAGCGAGGGCAAAATCGCTTCTGTCTTGTGTTGTCCCCTCAAGTCCCAGTTCCCGAGAACCTGACAATGATGTTGAGGCCTGACTGGCTTTCTCATTCTGGCACCTGCAGGCTGGCTGGGCCCAGGCGCCCTCTATGAGTTGCGTCCATGTGGGATCCAGGTGTTTCTCACCTTGGATTTCCTGGTTACTTAGTGCTGATTCGCCTCAGGGCTAAAAGAAGGGGTATGCAGAAGCCCACATCCTTGGGGCCTGGCTTCAGGATCACACTCACAATTTTCCTCGTTTTCTCTTGGCCAAAGTCAGTCTCATGCTTGGGACTGATATCAATGGGGCCTGGAAGCCTATTGCTCCCATAGAGTTTGGGGAAGAGAGCTATTGACATTTGTTGAAACATAATCTAATCTTTCCTATCCTAATGTTGTTTTTGTTCCCAACTACAAGCCATATACATATGTACGGTTATAAATGGGTGTGGACTTCAGGCAGGGCTGGATCCAGGAGCTCATTTCTCTCTGTGTCTCTGTTCTGCTTTTTCTGCATTTCTCTATTCTCAGCCTCCATATAGAAGCGCTCACAAGATGTCTGCCCCAGCTCTAACCTCATCTAGTTCCAGGTTTGAATGTAGCAGGAAGAGTCTGCATTATGATGCTCCCATTTCAGGTGTCAAATCCCTCAGACAGCATGCGACAAAGAAACAGCAACCTTCATCACTTGATTGGCAGGTGAAATGAGCAAATTATAGCCTTCTTTTCCCGCCGCTCCCTTCACACTCCCGGTCACACTGAGCAGCTCATTTTCTGCAAAACAGGCTCTCCTTTCCACAGCGTCCCCGTACCCAGCATTTGCTCACGCAGAACCTGCCACCGTGACTTTCCCAAGGGTGACTGGATTATACAGTGCAGTATCACAGGCTCCCAGGGGGCTGGGTCAGAGTTCTTGGTACCGGTTCCTGATCTTGGAGTCCCTTCTCAGATCTGCCCACAAGTGCATTTGCTTGAACCAAAGTCGGTCAGACCCAGAACGTGAGCCTCTTGACTGAGGTCAGGAAAACAGGGCAGCAGCCAGCTCAGAGTTGGCTTAATTGATTTGCTCTTAATTGGCTGTGTTCCGGGATGGTCCTGGGAGGAGGGGGCAGGGCAGAATCAGCAGCCTGCCTTGGGCAGTTGCTAAGCATTTTTCCCTCCCCAGGGTGGGGGAAGAGACAGCTGCACCCCGGCACTCCTAGTCCCAATGGTCAAGGGCCAGGCCAGCACCCAGGGCCAGGGGTGCGGGAGGGCTGAGAGCTCTGTGCCAGGAGCCCAGCAGCTGGGGCCCAAACCCTTACTTGGCTGACCTCTGACCCGCTGTGACCTTAGCTAAGTCAAGTAACCCTGCTTGCCTCAGATTTCGCTGTATAAACAGACGGCAATAGCCCCTAACCCGGAGAGCTGTTAAAACATGAACAAAGGAGTTAATACGTGAACATCAGGGAGTGGGAAACTCAAAGGGTCAGAAGATCACAACTTCTGACGGTGAAATGCGACCTGAGAGCAGTAAATGATATGTAAGTACAGGGGTGCGCCTGTGTGCTAAAAACACTATTGCTGGGTACTAACATTTGAATTTTCTTCTCATTTTCACATGTCCCTAAATATTATTCTTTGATTTTTTTTAATGAAAAAAATGTAAAAAACAGGTGCTGGACAGTCCGACCCCAAACACCGTGTCGGGCCCTGATGTGTCCAAAGCACTGACCTAGAAAGTGCCCCACAAACAGTGCCGCTGCCGTTGTAAACCTCAAGGTCACGCGTGGGGTTGCAGAGTCAGCGGAAGGACCCCAAACATCCATTTCATAAACCAGGCTGCTCTTCCTCCTGAGCACCTCCCTTGACTTCACTCTTTGAGTCTCAGTTTCCCCATCTGGACAATGGGCGTGGCGTCACCTACCTGCGGGCGAAGTGACTGCTTGTGCCTTCACCTGCTGCTGTGCCAGGCAATGCACAGCACCCCTGCTCTGCTCTCTGCAGGCCTCCCAGCCTCTGCCCTCGCTGGGCCCCCCTGAACCCCCCGACCTCACCCACTGCGCTGTCTCGCCCTGAGGTCAGTACAGGGGCTTCCTTTCCTAGTCCCCAGGGTGAATTGAGGACCTTCCCTGGGCTCCCTTCGACTCCTGTGCACCCCTTTCGCCATCGCAGTAGGTGGGTCACCAGATCAAGAACACTCAGGACTGGCTCTATGCCAGGTAGAAGGAAGGAAAAAAACAAGGCTCCAAAACATGTGTGGAATTTAAAGTGCGCTCTTCTCTCCTGGTCCCTTGTTCCCCCGAGGGCCCCCTGGGGCCCAGAGACATTGCACATTCTCTGTCCCTTTGCTACCCGGGGCTCTCAAGTGTCCTGTCTCCCAGGCCCACACCTTTGTGTGTGTGAGTGCGTGTGTGTGTGTGTGGGTATGCGTGTGTGGGGGTGTGTGTGTGCGTGCATGTGTGGGGTGTGTGTGTGGGTGTGTGCGTGTGTGTGGGGATCTCGTGAGCTGCTCCTAACCAATAGAAGTGGCAGAGATCACTTCTGTAGTCTTGTCACTCTACATAAGACTGTCTCGCCAGCGGACCTGCCACTGTCCTGTCTTACCGGTAAGCAATCGTGTTGGGGACAAGCCACAGCAAAGGCCCAGTAGCCAGGAACTATGGGGTGGCTCCAGAAGCTGCCGGCAACATGCGGCTGGTCATCAGCAAGAGTCCAGGGAGCTCAGGCTCTGAGCCGCTGGGAAGGGACGCAGCCGACAGCCCGAGGAGCTTGGAGCCAGCCTTCCGGGCTAAGCCCCTCGTGGGCCACTGCCAGGGACATTAAAACTGCAGCAGCGGGCCCTCCCTGGTGGCGCAGCGGGTTAAAGCGCAGCACTGAGAAGCTAAAGCCACTTCTGCATGAGTTCGACTCCCGCCTGCCCAGGAGGTGACCCACACGGCGCGGCAGACCTCTCCTGACCGCCCGCTGCTCCCCTCAGCAGTGTACTTTGTCGATCTGCCTGTTCTGCTCCCCACTCTGTCTCTGGTGAAGCCTCTCGCCACCCCTGAGCCTCTGGCCTGTACCCCAGTTCTGTATGCACAAATAAATACATCTTTAAAAAACAAAACCAAAAAAACTGCAGCAGCTGACCCTGGTGCAGCACGCCCATGAAGTCACGCACGGATCGCAATCTGCAGGAGTCACCGTGAGACTGTGAATGTGGTATTTGGAACCACGGGGCTTGGTGAAGCTCAGCTACCGGCCACAGCTGGCCCACAGCACACGCTGGCTCAGGTCAGGCATTCAACCACACTGAAAAAGGAGCAAGTTCTCCTCAGCCCTCCTCAGGCCTAAGGCCAAGGTAGTAGCTGCTAGCTACATGTGGCTGTTTAAGTTAAATGAGTTAAAATTAAGTAGAACTTAATGGAGAGCAGGCTTTCAGAGACAGTGTACATCCATGCTTACAGCAGCATGACTCAAAATAGCCCAGGGGTGGCAGCCACCCAGTGCCCATAGATGGCCGCATGGATACACACAATGTGTCCAGGCACGCGGTGGAATATTAGTCAGTCTTCAAAAGGAAGAACATACTGACCGGTGGCTGCATGGCTTGACGCTCAGGAATAAGCCAGACACAGAAGGGCAAATCCTGGGTGACCCACTCCCAAGGGCCCAAGAGGAGTCCCACCCGGACAGACAGGAGGTAGCAGGTGGTGCCAGAGGCTGGGGCGGGAAGGCCTTCGCATGTCATGGGGGCAGGCTTCCGGTTGGAAAGATGAGAAAGTTCCGGAGCTGGAGGGTGGGGACCGTGGCACAACAGAGTCAGCGAGATGAATGTCTCTGAGCTGTGCACTAAAACATGGTGAAGATGGTGAATGTTAAGTTACGTGTATTTTCCTCATTTAGAAAAAGTAAATGAAACAGTGACGTGAGTTGGCAATGCAGTACTGCCACTGTGGCGGACACACGTCCCGGCCCAGAAGTCACAGTTGCTGCGACTCTCCTCTCGGGAGACACAGGGAAGATAAATGCTATTGAACCACTGCAGGAAGCTGGAAAGCACGCTGGGGAGAAGAGGGGCTTTGACGCCTCTCCACAGGGGCCGATTGTCCTTTTATAGAGCGAGGAGCCACCGGCTCCCAGCTTGGGGCAGCAACAGGTAGAACTGAGTGACTTTTATTTCAATGTGGGTTTTACAATTGTTCTCCCAGCAGAGGGCACCCTTGAGACCTGAGTGTGGGGGGTGTGGGGGGTTCTGCCGGCAGACCCCAGGGCTGCCCCTTCCCTCAAGGTCAAAGACCAAGTTCCCCACAGCCCACAGGCCCTGTCCCAGACCGGCCCTCACTCTACCCTTTAGCGCTCACTGCCACCTACCAGCTCACCTGGGGCCTCCTCTGCAGCCCTCCAAGCACCAGGCATCAGCTGGCCGCAGGGCCTTTGCACGGCTGCTGGTGAGCTGCCCCTTCTGACACTGACAGTGACAGTGACAGGGCTTCCTCCTCTCTCACTTTCTTTGTTGTTTTTTTTCTCAGACATCTATCTCCATGGTGAAAGCCTCCTTTCATCCAAATTAAAAAATGCACCTCCTCCTCATACCCAAGTTTACAGCCATTTCCTACTCTGCCTTCCTGACCAGAGCCCACAGCTCAAAATCTGGAAATCCCTGGACAGTGCTCCTGGGATGGGAGGTCTCGGCAGCCCCAGCCGGCCCACGACCTTGTCCTCAGCCTGGCCTGTCCCCAGATCGCTCTGCCCCCTCCCCTCCGGGAACTCAGAAATTCGCCTGGTGCACAGATGCCAGACGGGAAAATTAATTGGGCCTTGCTAGGATTGCTCTCTCCGCTCCCCGCCAATAACAGCCGTAAAGCGGGATTTATGCGGCGTGTTGGCTCCGGGTGGAAACTTGGAGGAGGGGCAACGTTCTAGAAAAGTGAGTCCCTTGCCTTGGAAGCAGGCGGCTGCTGGGGCTCCGGAGCAGCGCCACCTTCCTGCAACCTTCCTAGAGGTCGAGTCTCTCCCCAGGCTCCTGTTCCCGGAGGCAGGAAGATGTTCCGCCTCTGCCAATCCCTGACTGGGGATCGTTTCCCTAATTATATCCCGCATTTATAAGCACCTACAGCTGTGCCAAGCCGTGTCCCAACTGTTTTTTGAACATTAACATTTTAAATTGAAAAGTAGGGGATTGCTTTTAGGGATCTCTTTTAACCGACAGGGACACTGGCACAGAGAGGCTAAGCAACTTGCTTAAGGCTGCACAGCTGTCAGCCTCGTCCATGGTTTAGGGACTTATGGGGACCAGGATGTAACAGGGACAGCACAGCAGTAGAAGAGCGCATGGCCGGTCAGCTGGGGGTGCCAAGCGTGCCCGGTCCCCGTCACCACCGTGACCAGGGACTGCCCAGCTTCTAGGGTCCACGCGGACCTAGCTGAGGGGACAAACCACTGTGAGAGCGGCTAAAGGAACCGACTGGAAACCTTTGCACATGCTGAGCCTTTAGACTGTTTCTTTTCCTCCCTGCTCCCTTCTGGGTAGGGTCTCTTCCAGGCAGCCCTGGAGAGTTCCAGTAGGATGAGGCTCCAAATACTGACGCTGCTGTTTGACCCTGAGGAAGTGTGTTCCCCTCTCTGGGCCTCAGTGTCCTCACCTGAAAGGGGGGGGTATAAGAATAGGGGAGTTGTGGGGTACACAGGGCAGACACAGGGCTGTCTTGCAGCCCCCATCAGCACTCAGAAGCAGCCGCTATTAGACTTTCTTTTTACTGTTTTTATGTCACCCTCCAACTGGAGAGACGAGGACTCTGCCTCTCTCTGGAGTCCGCTCACCATCGCCAGACCACATCCAGCAGCCCGCCTCTCCTGCAGGCATTGCAGGGACGATTTTGATGGACATGTTTTTTGCACGGAAAAAAGCTGGAGGAATTGTATTTTGCCAAAAGTGTCAGCCGAAGGGAAAATATTTCCCGCATCTCTGGCGAGTGTTGATGTGAAGAGCTGGCACGTGGATGGGGCTGCAGGTTCCACAGTTCCGGGGCCAGTTACCCCGACCCCAGTCAGCCGCTTCTCTGGCCTCCGGCTCTGCGCAAGCCCAGCTCTCTCTGCCCTCCTGTCCCTGGCTTATATAATCTATTATATAATTTCTCACACATTCTCTCAGCCCCCTTCTTCACTTTTTCCCCCCTCAGTAAGGTTGGAGTGAGTAAATGAGTTTGGAGTTGTGATTTGAAAACTGAGGTATTGCCTGGAGAAGGGGGTGAATAGGAGGAGAAATCTAGATAGAGGGCACAGCTCATGCAAAGGCCCTGGGGTGAGGGATTTATGTGGGACATGACCTGGCTTGTTGGATGAACGTAGAGGAAGCCTGTGTGGCTGCAGCAGAGAGAGACAAGGGGAGCAGAGTGAGTGAGGGGTAGAGCTGGTGATCACAGGGAGAGGGTGCAGACAAGTTGTGCAGAGGATTTTGGTTTTGTTTAAGAGGCCCTAGGGAAATCTGTATAAGCAGTAGGATTGGGGAGGGGGTGGCCGAGCGGCCCAAAGGCCAAACAAGAGAGCCCTGGACATTTACCCTGGACCCTGCTTTGAGAACATGGTGAGCAGAATGTGAACACAAACACTCACTCTCTTACCTGGGTGGACACTGGAAAGTATCAGCAGCATCCACTGAATGACAAACTAAACCCAACTCAGCCTCTGGCCCTGTTTTAAAGCAACAGAGAGACATGTTGGATCACTGTTTGGGCTTTCAAGTACAGATAGCAAAACTATCATAACCCCACCACCAGGGGGCAGGCAACCCTTGCGATTTGTATAAAGGAAAACTATGCAGCTATGATAAAGGATGAGGCCAGCTATAAGAGCAGATACAGACTGATGCCCATGATATATGAAGGGGTATGAGAAATCTGCAGACCAATGAATGACATGGGAAGAGAGCATCTGAAGCATTTGCCTTGGAGCAAAGCAAAGAGATGTCAACAGAGGTTTTATTTCAGTCACAAGTCACTTAGTGTGTGGGATATGTTCTGAGAAATGTGTCATTAGGCGATTGCATCACTGTGCAAATACCACATAGTGTAATGCCTACCTAGATGGTACAGTGCACCTCATGCCTAGGCTGTATGGTAGGGTCTATTGGGACATTGACCTATAAGCAATTCATCATCCACCAAACACTGTTAAGTGCTATATGAGTGTATTTTGTTTTATTTGGCGGGGGGAGGGAGTTCATATAACAAAAAGATAATCATAACATAAAATTAACCAGTCGGTTATATTTAGTATATTCTCTATGCATACCACCTTTCTCTAGCTCCAAAACACTTTCAGCATTTCCCCCCAAAAGGAATAACTCCTGTATATTATTGGTTTTTAAATTTACAATATATTTTTTAAAGATTTATTTTTTTTATTTGTGCCTACAGAGCTGGGGTACAGGCCAGAGGTGCAGGGGCAGTGAGAGGACTCTCCAGAGGCAGAGTGGGGAGCAGAACAGGCCGACTGATGAAGTCCACTGCAGAGGGGAGCAGCGGGCGGGTCAGGAGAGGTCTGCCGCGCCATGTGGTCACCTCTGGGGCTGGTGGGGATTGAACTAATGCTGACGTGGCTTCAGTTCTCAGTGCTGTGCTCTAACCACTGCGCCACCAGGGAGGGCCTAAAATATTTTTTATTGTGACGGAGGACGTCGCCCTCCCACCCACTCGGGGTGGCTGTGCCCCTTGGCTGGTGCCCTGCTCTTAAATGGACACCAGAGGCTGGATTAGGACCCCCCTAGATTCAGGATGGTTTCATCTCAAGATGCTTAGCCAATTACATAGGCAAGGAAG